CACTATAACATACCATAGGTCACTATGGCATACCATGGGCCACTAGAGCATAACATAGGTCACTATACCATACCATGGGTCACTGTAGCATACCATGGGCCACTAGAGCATAACATTGGTCACTATACCATTCGGGGAGAATAGAAGGGGTTGGGGTGTTAATTTAAAAAAAATTAATTATTAATTTTAGGAAATCGTTTAATTACAGCTTGATAGACCCCGAATAGTCTAAACTGGGGTCCATGTTGAGGAAAGTTTGAGAAGCCCTTCACGAAATAAATTAATAACGCACTCAAACGTCGTTAGTCATTGGCCCAGTACATCTGACTCAAAGTGTGACCTGAGTGTTTTGTTGTTCGAGTCGCTCATGTAGGATAGAGTCGGCAGTAGTAGGAAGTGTTGCTGTTCCAGCCCACCAAATGATGTTGTTGAGAGCTCAACACAACCATCGAGTTAGGCGGAAACAAAAAACTATCGAAGGCGGTGGAACCGAACATAAGACAAAGGATGGGATTCGATCGTGCCGTTCTACTTCCTCTACGCTACGTTAACCACGTGACGCCCGTAAAACCGCAGCACGTGACCAGAGTTAGGGCCGGGTGTACAAGCTGTCGCCGGGCGCCCTTTACGACGTTGTGCAGATGTTGTTGCAGGGATTTCTGTGGTTTTCGGTGGTGGGGTGGGGGGTGAGGGGGGAAGTAAACAATACAGTGCAAAGGGGTAAAGAGGCTAAACCCCCAGTCACAGTTAAAAATAGTTACAGGGCTTAGATCTACCAAACCCACAAACGCTGTACCGGCCACATCCATACATAGATCATACCCGGAAGTAGCAAGCCGCGTATGTTTGCTCCCTACAAATTGCGCCATGTTTCGATAACAGCTCAGGTGATCGTGCGTTTGATGTGCGCTTGTTGTTGTTACTGTCTTTCACAATCTTTTTCAGAACCCCATCCAACACCCTCTACAAACATAATAGCACACACAAATACAAAACAAACTCATACAGCCCAATATCCAACATCGTTCACAAAATCCTTACAAGCATCCAATCAAAAGCCCTCCGCAAACATCAACAGCACACCATATAGCACCCTCTACAATCAACCTAAACATCCCATACAGCACCCTCCACAATCAACCTAAACATCCCACACAGCACCCTCCACAATCAACCTAAACATCCCATACAGCACCCTCCACAATCAACCTAAACATCCCATACAGCATCCTCCACAATCAACCTAAACATCCCATACAGCACCCTCCACAATCAACTTAAACATCCCATACAGCACCCTCCACAATCAACCTAAACATCCCATACAGCATCCTCCACAATCAACCTAAACACCCCATACAGCACCCTCCACAATCAACCTAAACATCCCACACAGCATCCTCCACAATCAACCTAAACATCCCACACAGCATCCTCCACAATCAACCTAAACATCCCACACAGCATCCTCCACAATCAACCTAAACATCCCACACAGCATCCTCCACAATCAACCTAAACATCCCACACAGCATCCTCCACAATCAACCTAAACATCCCACACAGCATCCTCCACAATCAACCTAAACATCCCACACAGCATCCTCCACAATCAACCTAAACATCCCACACAGCACCCTCCACAATCATCTAAAACACCCCATACAGCACCCTCCACAATCAACCTAAACATCCCACACAGCACCCTCCACAATCATCTAAAACACCCCACACAGCATCCTCCACAATCAACCTAAACATCCCACACAGCATCCTCCACAATCAACCTAAACATCCCACACAGCATCCTCCACAATCAACCTAAACATCACATACAGCACCCTCCACAATCAACCTAAACATCACATACAGCACCCTCCACAATCAACCTAAACATCACATACAGCACCCTCCACAATCAACCTAAACATCCCACACAGCATCCTCCACAATCAACCTAAACATCAGATACAGCATCCTCCACAATCATCTACAGCACACCATACAGCACCCTCCACAATCAACCTAAACATCCCACACAGCACCCTCCACAATCAACCTAAACATCCCATACAGCACCCTCCACAATCAACCTAAACATCACATACAGCATCCTCCACAATCATCTACAGCACACCATACAGCACCCTCCACAATCAACCTAAACATCACATACAGCACCCTCCACAATCAACCTAAACATCCCACACAGCATCCTCCACAATCAACCTAAACATCACATACAGCATCCTCCACAATCATCTACAGCACACCATACAGCACCCTCCACAATCAACCTAAACATCACATACAGCATCCTCCACAATCAACCTAAACATCCCACACAGCACCCTCCACAATCAACCTAAACATCACATACAGCACCTCATCAATCATGTACAACATCCAACAATGCACCATCCATAATCATCTACAACACACCATACAGCACCTTATCAATCATGTATAACATCCAACAATGCACCATCCATAATCATCTACAACACACCATACAGCACCTTATCAATCATGTACAACATCCAACAATGCACCATCCATAATCATCTACAACACACCATACAGCACCTTATCAATCATGTATAACATCCAACAATGCACCATCCATAATCATCTACAACACACCATACAGCACCTCATCAATCATGTACAACATCCAACAATGCACCATCCATAATCATCTACAACACCTTCCACAACCCCTCCCCACACCGCTACACCTCATGACACAACTGAAACAACAGGTAAACAAAACGACACGTCACCCCATGTAGCAGGTGTTTAGCAGGCCGACATTTTTTATCAGTGACAGCCAGAAGAGACGAACAGAATATAACATACATTTTTGGTGTGTCAATGGAGACACCTGGGATAGGGTAAGAAGACGGCGGGGGAGGGGGGGTTGCTTTATTTTTCACTTCGTATTCGTTAATGAACTTTTAATGTAATCAGTAACCTGAACTTTTGATTTAATCAGTTATATGAACTTTTAATTTAATCATTTAAACTTTTAGTTTATTCAGGTATTTGAACTTTTAATGTAATAATTTATTTTAACTTTTAATTTAGCCAGCTGTAGGAACTTCTAATTAAATCAATTAAGTGAGCCATTAATTGAATCAGCTAATTACTAGAATCAAGATTTCAGGCTACAACGATCGGTATTTAAACTTCACATCTTTTAGGAATACTTTACTCGCTCTGCCAATTGACCACCCAGTCTACACATTGTTAGAGCTCACAAAATATACAGAGGGGTAGGGTGTGTGTGTGGGGGGGGGGGGGGGTGATGTCGACTTTAAAGGGACTTTAGGACTTTAACAGTTGCATCATTATATTCAATTAACCCTAAAGTCGCCGTGACATATGATAGTGGATTAACATTTTTTTAATTAACCCTACGGCGGTTACTGAGATGCATAGATTAAATTAACCCTACATCGCCTCTAGCACTTGAAGAGTGGATTAAGCTTAAACCGTGTAGAGCTGCTAAAATGTAATTTAAAACTACTTCAGTAACAGAGCTAGAGAAGTGTAATTTTAAAAAAAAAACAGTAACAGAGATACTGAAATGTAATTTTAAAGTACATCACTAACACAGCTAAGAAATTTAAAACTACATCGGTAACAGAGCTAAGAAATGTAATTTAAAACTATATCAGTAGCAGAGCTAAAGAAATGTAATTTAAAACTACATCAGTAACAGAGCTAAGAAATTTAAAACTACCTCGGTAACAAAGCAGCTAAACAGTTAACTGAACCTAAATCAGATATAAAGCTGAAGATTAACCCTACAGCAGCCGATGAGAAGCAGAAATAGAAACCACAAAACCATTTCCTGCGGTTCTCGATTGCCCGTCAACTAGGTCGCCACGCCCCCGTTTAAACGACACCTGGTTGGGAAAGGGTTAAAACAAATGTCTTCCTTCATTCAATGAGGCGCTGGGGAAGGTATGGTTAGGTAGGAAAGCGTACGTCGACTCGTAAAACCTTAAGTTTGGATCCCCGGGCAGATAAGTCTCGTTAGTTTGGGACAGCAACTCATCTAGAAGAAAAAACTAAAAATCAAACAACTCCTAACTGGCAGATTATTCTTGGGTGCACAACTGTTATATATTTAATGGCAGCAAATCCAGAAAGAAAAGCAGGCTGAAGTTGGAACCAACGAGCCTTTTAGCGCATGACATGGCGACACGTAATTCTAAACTATGTCGGAGTAAACCCCCCTCAATATTTCAACTAAGAAGAAGAAGAAGAATCGAGTCACTAGTGCTAAGTTCAGCTGGTGCAGACTGCATGTAGATGGCTTTAATACTCTATCACATTCAATCAATATTTAAGCTACCCGGGCTAGACCCCGTTACTGTGAGCCTATTATACTAGGAGATTTGTTTTTGTTTTTGAAAAATCTCATTACAAATAACCACGTGTAAAAAAAAGTAATAACATTTATTTTAACGATCTAATTTTGTTTCTATAATTTAAAAAAAACAGAGCCGGAAATTACAAATGAAAAATGATGTAGCATTGTTTTGATGTGATGCTCAGTTGTGTGTGAAAAAATTATTTACCGGTGACACAGTTTTCTATGTCACATATGTCACATAGTGATCCAACCACACCACACTTCAAAAGATGAGACAAACACAGACATTATAAATCTAGAACATTCGTTGTTGACAACACCAAACACCCCTCCACTCTCCACCTACTTTTAAAAAACTGATCCCCCTAATCCCGTTTGTTTACTTCAATCAAAACCAGCTTCAGACAGCACTTGTGTGTAGAACAATTGAGAATGAGTGCAGTCTTATGTTTTTATTAGATCAACCCCCCCCCCCACCCCTTACTTTTTTTACCTCCCCCCCCCCCCACTCCCCACCGCGGTACGCCAAGGCACGCGCAACCCTCTCTCCGCCACCCCGCCACGCGAGAATAGAAGGCCACGCGCAGAGAGCTCACGGGAAGAATCTACTTAGCCCTGAAAGGGGTAGCGCGGAGTGGATTTAGGGACGATCTAGTTTCCGTGCGACGCCGCTGCAAGCAAGAAGACCCGCGCACACAATAAAAAAAAAATTTAAAAATAAAAAAATAGTCGCACACAGGAGAGGGGAACCATTTCTTCACATGGGGCTGCTTGTGTATACACACGATTTTCTAACCGTGCACGGATTAAGATTAGGATTACATGTTCGTGCGGGGATAATTAGCTGGATTGGATAAGCTCTTCTACCATGTAAGATAACTTTTTTCATAACCTATTTATAACTTACAGATAAACAATCTCTTGGTATATGGGAAGGTGGGTAGTAATTTAGAGTTCCTGTAGGTGGAACACAACAGTGACCCTGGGCTGAAACTCATGTCGGTTATCACGTGATCGGGAATCCCCCCGCTGGTGCCTGGTCGATTCAACAGGGTACAATTAGGGATAACGGGACACGCGAAACTCATGTCAAGTCACTTACCTGTTGGGGTGGGGCCCGTGGGTCTGGTGTACACGCCAGGGGGTAGGGGGTCGAGTGTGGGTGGGGAGGAGTGCGTGTGAGGAGTTTGCATGAGGAAAGGGGGGTGAAAAAACATCGCGCGTTATAATTAAGTTAAACCTGGTAGAAATAAATGTGCGTGAGAAAATATGCATGTTTTGTACCAGGATCAGTAGGCTACTACGGAATTACAATGCGGAAGACGTTTTACGATATAAATTACAGCCGTAAACATAACTGTTAGCAAGACGTGTTTACTGTGTTGGTAAAGCTTTAAATAATGTAAAAGGTAGGCTAGTCGTTCCGTCTTTAGCATGAAAACAATGACGAGCCAAGCATGACGGTTACCTCCCCTGATGTAAAAGTTACGACAAAGAAAGCGACTTGCTCTCTCTCTCTCTCTCTTTCTCTCCCTCTCTCTCCCTCTCTCTCTCCCTCTCTCTCTCTCTCTCCCTCTCTCTCTCCCTCTCTCTCTCCCTCTCTCTCTCCCTCCGTATTACGAACTATTGTTTCCCTCTGACCTGTAAAACATCATCATCATCTTTTCCCTTTCGTGCCCAAGTCACATGGGGCAGATGAAGTAGAGTTCACTTGTTTCTGTGACCTCTGCATATGAAGGGATAGTGTGGTCAGCACTATGCCCAGCCGCCTTTACTTTCCCTAACGTGAGTAGAGTACCCATCAGAGCTGGGTGGACTCAGGGACGTTCTACTGACTTGAACCACGATTCGTACTCGAGAATTCCAGGTTAGCATTCTAGTGGGTTATTCCCCTGGTTATGGAACTAAAGGACCGTCAATAGGCACTTGATATTTCTAATCAGCAACAGAAAACCAATCACAAGCTAGAGGCAGTCGCTTAAGAAAGAATTGTTGATAACGCAAGCTGCCTCTCATTAAATAAATAAATGACCAAAAAAAAGAAACTAGCTGCATTTAATTTAAAATATAAATAATAAATTTAAAAAAAAAACTGGCTACCACTCATTAACAAAAAAATTATAATTAATAAAGTCGGCCACTTTTTCTTACCAAAAATATGACCGCACAATGCGACAAAAATCTAATGGCATAGTGAGTTACCTTTCTCTAACAGAGAAATAATGACAAATATGGTAAGCTACCTTCACCTAAACATAGAAATCCTGACAAATAAAACTAGCTACCTCCCCTTAACATAGAAAACCTGACAAACAAAACCAGCCACCCCCACCTTAACATAGCAATAATGACCAGTGAACACCAGGAATAATAAACCTGCTAACATGCATACACAACCATTCTGTAGCCAGCAATCAATAGAATGCATGTAACTCACATGATGTAACTTCATCGATTTGACACACACACAGCTATTGGATACAATTCATTCGTTTTTCATTGCACGTAACAAACTGGACTAACTTTGTTTTCAATATGTAACAGACAAGTTAATACAGGGAAATGGATTCGTTTTTCTTTGCACCTAACAAACTGGACTAACTTTGTTTTCAATATCTTATAGACAGATTAAGATGGGAAAATGGATTTGTTTTTCTTTTCACATAACAAATAGGATTAACTTTGTTTTCAATATGTTATAGACGGGGAAAATTGATTAGTTTTTTCTTTGAAAATAAACTAAAGTAAAGATGTTATCTATGTGTTATAGGAGAGGCTTAGATAGTGAAATGAAAAATCTTTTTATTAATAAAATGCTATTCATTCGGTTACAATGCCAATGTTTACTAACAGAAATAAATACATTGAATTACAATAATCATTATTTTTTTCTGTTCGTGCCAATGACACATGGGACAGATGCAGTAGAGTGCATCAGTTTCAATGACCTCGGCCTACCATGAAGGCTCCACCATGACCTTTTAATTCCTAACTTAAGTCAGGTACCCAGCAGAGTTGGGTGAACTCAGGGGCGTCCTACTGACGCAAGTCAGAATTATAATAATATTGACTCTTAAAGCTCCGTGCAGTATGGATTGGGGGGGGGGGCGACCGTTAATAGAACACTTTGGTTCCAATTAAGAAAATGTATTTACGTGGAAATTTATGAAAGTGATACAAAATGTGCATTGTGGGTAGGTTAGGGTTAAGGTCAGGGGTTAGGGTTCACTTAAGGGTCAGGGTTTCACTTCAGGGTCGAAGACTCTATACAATTTCAAGGTCACCCGCGAACTGGCAATATTGTAATCGTGACTCTTATCATCATTAAACGTATCAGTCTAGGTTAATATTACCGCAACACATCCATCTCAACATACCAGACTAGAAAGAATGACCGTATCACACCCACCATAACCACACCCACATTTAGTACTTTCCCCTATGTTGCAATACAACTTTCACCCTTCCTCTTCACACCGTTGTTTACAATTGTAAACACGGACGTGCGTCACATCCTGGTCCAGCACACAAACAACTTCAGGTAAAAATTAAAATGTCTCCCCCCCCCCTCCACACACACACGTGGTTAAGGGGTCCTGCACACATTACAAAACACGAAAGAGGGTATTGGGTGGCGTGGAGAAATATTAACACCGCTTCTGATTGCATCTATTTTTTTTTAAATAAAATAATTTATTAAATTTTCGCCACATTGCATTGTCATCAAGTATTGACCTACTTATCAACTATGGGGAAAAAATCGGTTCGGTAGAAATGAGTGAGATAACGTTTTCAAGTTTACGTCCATGACAGATGCGGAAGAGTCAAGTTAAATAAAAGCCTGTAACAATCATTAAAATTTCACTCAAACTAATTAACCATGACGTTAATATAATGAGGTTGGGGAAAGGGGGGGGGGGGGGGGGGGGGGGTAAATCCTAAAAATGTTATACGAAATGAAAAATGTTCTATGAAATGTGGTTGTACGTCTGAGGATGACGTTGCTCTAAGTTATTTAAAGGGGGGGGGGGGGGGGGGGTAGGGCAGGATGGTCAAATGTGTTTGCCTTGCATAATATGTGCACGGCCCCTTCACGTCGCGACGGCCGTGGGTTCCCGTGTGAACTGTGGTGTCGTCAGCACAGGTCAGCGCCGAGGTTAAGCCAGTGGCTGACACACGCTCTGATTTAACATCCTTTGAATCACGGGGCGACACAGACGGCGGGGCATTTGTACGTGTCATGTGACGCCGTATGCGAATCGGTGATATTAAACCAGTTTTTTCCAGGCATCTCTTCGGAGGCCGCCCCCCCCCCCCCCCCCCCCCCCCCGAAGAAAGTCTACCCCCTCCACCGAACGAGATGGAATTTATATGGTAAACATATACTTTTACTAGTGTCCGCCCCCCCCCGGGGAAATGTACACCGCCCCCCCCCCCCGGGGAAAAAGTCTAGAAGAAACACTATATTATACGATACTTTAAATCTCAGAGTTAGGGTTTAGTTTAGTGTGAGCAATGGGATTTAGTTTTAGGGTTTAATTTTAATTTTTTATTAATATTTTTAAGAGCACGAAATCCCGGTTGTATCAAAATATAAAATGGTTTTCCATTACCAGATAATGTATACGTATCTTTATCGAGAACCTGTCTAATGACTCCGTATTCGAATAAGTGATATGTACCGATACCTTAAATTTTAGGGTTAGGGTTTAATTTAGAGCGAGATATGGGTTTTAGTTTTAGGGTTCAATTTTTATTCTGTTTTATAAATATTTTATGTGTTCACAAAATCCCGCTTGTATCGAAATAAAAAGTGATTTTTTTTGTCATTACCATCGCAGTACAAATAATGTATAAGTACCAGTATTGATAACTAGTCTAATGTAAAACGACTTGGTGGGTCTCTACATTAAGAACATTTGTTAAAACAATCGTCCAAAAAAAATAATTGCCAGCTGTCTCTGCTGCTTAAGTTTATATAAAGATAATGTATGTACATATGTCTCTGTCATATATGCATGACAGATTGGTGGGTGTAGAAGCGTGCTGTTGGGATTTAAAAACAGAAGTCATAGAAACCAGAAGTCGTACGGCTCATAAGCTAGAGTGAGTGAAACAGAATCATAGGGATAATAATACAAAAACCAACAGAATCTGTTGTTTAAAATATTATATTTAAACAACAGCAGCCTGAATAAAATGAATCTAAATTTTTCTTTACTATCTATAATAGTTTAGTTTAAACTAACATATATTTTTTAGTTTAAACTAACATATATTTGCGGGGAAAAAAATAAAAACCATTCTAACTTTACTCTTAATATCTATGTGTTTACCTAGTAATATTGCGCAGTGGTTTCGAAAAAGTTTTTCTTCTTGGCGCCAAATAATTTCACATTCATCGAAAATCGTTCAACATAAAATTTAATCATCATTTATTTTAACTATAATGTCGGAAATCAAACAACTAAAACAAAACAAAAATAAGATTTAAAACATAAGAGCTAATTAAACTAATGTGTTGGACTGAATAGAACCACAACCTTCCCAGTGAAATATTGCTATCTGTAGCTAACCGTCAAAAACAAATCCTCTAAGTCTTTAATTTTGCCAATACTGAGTAGTTATGGGACTGCTAACCCGCAAGTCTTGAGTCTTAGGATGTCCATGAGACCACCCAACCCTGATTGGTACCGAACTTACCTCTAAGAAAGTGAAGTCGGGTGTCATAGAATTGACTACAGTCTACCCTCGGGCAACTCTCGGTCTACCCTAGGTCTACCCCCCCCCCCCGTGTAACCTAGGTCTACGTTTAGTGTAGCCTAGGTCCACTTTTAGTGTAGTCTAGGTCTAAGCTCAGTGTACGGACG